GCTTCTCTCCCGCCGGACCTGCGCGCGGAGCCTGCCCTGCGCGCGCTGCTGGGCCCGGCCTTGGGCCACCTGAAGAACGTGGTCGCGCGCGGCCGCGCCATGGCCTGGGCCACGTACGCCGCGGAGCCGCCGTGCCTGCACGCGCTGCTCACGCTGCGCTTGCACCGCCCGGACCTCCCCGTGTCGCTGCACCACCCGAAGCCCGGAGCCGCGCCCCGCGCCGACGCCTTCGCGAAGCAGCTCCACGCAGTCCGAGCAAGAGGCGGCGTCGGGAACACCCTCCTGTTCCGTAACCTCCCTGCGGAGGTCGACGTGCCCGAGTTTGAACACGCCGTTCAGGAGTGCGCGCGCGGCGCGGTCAGGACGAGGTCGGCGCTGTCGAGGGGAGGCACCGGCAGGAGCTTTTGGGTCGTTTATGGCGGCGTCGAGGCGTGTGAAACGGCGTTTCGAGCGTTGAGGGGGAGTGGAGTGTCGTTTCGATGCGGTAGGGCCGTAAAGTTGCACCCTATCGTCCATGACGACTCCACGGATGCCGATGAGAAGAAACGGAGGGAGAGAGCCGCTTCGCTCGGGACGCATAAAAGTCGCGGGGGCCGGGCGGCGGCAACTGTTCGGGAGGACGGCCCGCTGGACCTTTTAGAGCGGTTTTTGCGCGCCAGTCAGAACAAGTTTGTGTTTCTTTCACAGCGGTAGGAATATGGTGAGTGGAACATGCGGTGTAGGGGCATAAGGTTATTGGTGCTTGGAGAGGGCTGCCTCGGCAGCAGCAGGTTAGAAGAAGTTGTATATACTTGTGGGTCTGTCTACTCTGGCAATGAAGGTGGGGGGGTGGTACTCTGGACGCAGCATGAGAGAGGCGACAAAAAGGGTTCCCGGGTACCTGAGCATGGTGCGCATGCATGGGAGTACTACGCCTTTGTATATCTCGGGAGCAACGCGTCTTGGGGTGGTGTATGCGTTAAAGGACTTGTTTATTTGTTCAGCGCTCGAGATAGGGCATGTCATGTCAGTGTGGCTTAGGCTGACGTGGGGATATGACTCATGGTCGTTGAGGCTGGAGACCCTACAGATACTGCCGCCTCGGCTTTTGGCAGTAAAAAGAAGTGTGGGTAGTGGGCTGGCAAAAAGCAAGGAAAGCAATTTTCTAGGGAGGCACGTGGGAAGGACACGCAATATTCTCATTGTTCGCACTTCAACTTGGGGATGATTTGCGACATTTTCCTCGCTTTTGTCTACAAAGCCATTGAGATGCGCGACTCTGTGGCCATACTTGCTATTGATGTTACGGGTCTTTGAAATATCGAAAGCAAACAAACTAACGCCCGCTCGCATAGTTCAGTTCTTTTCTTGCTGCCCACGGCGAATTGCTTCCCCACGGCGAACTGCTTCCCCACGCGGTTGCAACATTTTTTAACTCTTTCCTCAACTGGACCGGGGACGAAAGTAACATTGCTTTACTGCAATGGCGGCGAACAATGACGCGGAAGCGTTGAATGAAACAAGGACATCTCTTGAAGACAGACAAGTAGGTACTTTTCAGCGCCCTCGACCGCACCATGGCGAGGATGCTGGCTTTGGAAGGGATCGAGACCGATCACGGCAGCCAGTCACGCAAGTCCGTCCTACCCTCAGTGCCGTAGGCCGGGTTGCGTCGCGAGTAAGGACATCTGGAATTAGCAAGATTTCCACGTTGTTGCAAAATGGCAAAGAAGAAGAGGGTATAAATGCCTCGCCTTGGGGCGTTGGTCAAGCAGCTATTAGTAAAGCAGCCATGGCAAGGAGTCAGTCTACGTCGGTAATCGCTAAGAGGCTCACAAAGAGCACGAGCACAATGAGAATCAAGACTTCCCTTGAGAGGAGTGAGAGCACGGCACAGATAACAAGCCCGCTTACAAAGAGTGGGAGCGTGATGTATATGAAGAGTCCAGGTGGCAAGGGCAGCAAGGCTGTGCGAAGCGCCGACCCAATAGTGCGAAGCGAAAGTGCGACACGAGGTGTCCATTCCAAGGGGAAAGATACCTCTGATGTGCTAGAAATGTCCTCGCCAATGTCGACGGACCATGCTGAAACCTCAGCTGTGGACTTGGGCCATGCAATATTGCCGATCGACGACGCGTCGAGTGGCTCACGCCCACGGCAAGGTCAGGAAGGGTTGACCGCCGCTGGAACGAGGGCCACCAAGTCACCTCCGACAGGGGTTCGTCGAAAGCTTTCAGATATGGGACGAACGCCAACCCCGGAGAGCCCCATCAACAGACTTGCTGCAAAGCGCGGTGAAGGCCGGCCAAGGCCAAAGGAGCCAGGGAAGATGCTAGAACGACTAGGATCTACGACCGTTAAGTCCAAGTTCCATTTTCGCCCCAGTCTGCTCATTGAGTCACAATCGCCTGGATGCCGAAAGGAAAAGGACGATGCTTTTAATGGTGCACTTGAAAAAGATGAAGGCAAAGTTTCGGAACAAAGTTCGGCCGAACTTCCTGGAGTACAGGAAGGGCAAAACCGAAAAGATGGTACGGTAGAAAGGCGCAACCTCAGCAACAGAGCTCCACACAGCCCCCAACCACAGCAAAAGAGCAGCGGCAATACGTCGACCGCCCTTGAGCCTTCCCATGAAGTCGATAGCGAACTCGAACTCATGGATTCGCTTGCAATCGGAGACGCAGAGAGGCCGAGCATCTTCTCGTTCATGGCAAGCCGCAGCAAAATCTGGCCGGAAATCCAAGCGCGAAAGCACAAAACCGAGAGGCAACGCGGCATAATGGGTCTGTCGCGGAGCCGGTCGCAGGCGCCCAAGCCGCCAACGGCAGCGGAGGTTGCCCCGAAGGAGGACGTGGACCTGACGGCACCTCGGAAGTTCAGTTCGAATCGGTCGACGGGCAGGTCTGGCAAGGCGGCGCCGCCTCCAGAACGGGTAACCCCGGCCGCGAAGCAGAAGAAGGTGGGGTGGTTCAACTTGAGAAAGAGTGAAAACGGGGCGGAGCGCGGCGGGGGAATTAAGGGGAGGTCGAAGTCGCGCAAGGTGGGCGCGGGCAAAGAGCAAGACAAGGCGGGGGATGGCGAGGTGCAAGCGCCAAAGCACTTGCCGAGACGCCGGGACGAGCCTTCTCAGGGGACCAAAGCGGGGCTGTTCGGGAGGAGGAGCTTGGTGGGGGGCGGGCCGAGGCCGGGCACACTGCGGGAGGACGCGAGCGGTGATAACGACGGGGCAGAGAGAGACGACGCAATACACTCGAGTGAGGATGAAGGCGAGGCAAGCGCGGTCAAGGTTCGGTCGCTCGCTCACGACGATTTTATTTCGTACCAAACAAAACAAGGGCGGAAAGGGAGAGCAAAGGCGTAGTGAAGGGGGTGGGCAGGGAGACTGTAGAGTGCAGGTCGTATAGTACATGCGTAGATACGGATAGCAGAGGTGATGTGCAACTGGACAGAAATAAAGGATGCGCAGTCAAAGGGATGAGCTGCCGTTGGCAAGTTGGACAACTTCCGTCTGCGCTCGTTTACTACTAGTGTACCACGAAAAGGACGAACAAGATGAAAACACACACCCGAGGCGAGCAGGGATAAATCGGAAATTGTTTTACGACAAGGGCAACATTACCAAGAGGTTAGGCGACCTGCACAAGGCCAAGCCCGCGCTCCCCTCGTCGCTAAACTTGCCAAAGAAAGAACTATAAAACGCGGGGGGGCGGACCGTCTGCTATGCCCCGCTCAACGAAGAGACACGAAGAGACACGAAGAGACACGGCACGGCCTCCTATTCCACCTCCTCCTCTGCCTCTCAAAAGCACCACGACCGTCTAGTGGCGGCACATAGCGGCGGCGACAGCGGGGTACTGGAAGATTTGCTCCTCCTCATGGTGGCAGTCGTGGGCGTAGAGCTTGCGTGCCGTGCGGGCGGACTCGTATTGCTGTCCAGTGACGGCGGCGGGCGACTGCTGGTTGGAGCGGTACTCTGCGGAGAGGGCGGCAACACGACGCTCCTCAGCATCGCCCTTAGCATGGCCATCCTCGCAAACACCGACACGGTAGAGACCATACGGATGAGCCTTCTGGGTGAGCTGGGCGCGCACGCCGTCGGCCATGTAGTCCTCCGCGATGGTAGACGGGGTGACGTTCCTGTAGCAGGTGCCCATGGCCTCTGCGCGGCCGGCAAGGAAGGTGGCGGCGCTCATGGGCATGTTCTTGAACTGGGCCTCCTCCCTGTCGCATCCGTTGGCGAGGATGAAGCATGCGCGACGGGCCTCGTACTGCTCGCGGAGGCGGACGTTGACGGGCTTCTGGGCCTGGCGGAAGGCGTTGGTGCGGTTGAAGACGCGCTTGTCAAAGGCCTGCTGCGGGACGGTGCCCTCGGCGCACTTGGTGGTGTACGTGCCGAACGGCACGGCCGAGCGCTTGTAGGTCTGCATCATGCCCTTCGCGCAGTACTCGTCGTACTTCATGAGGATCTTGGCGGCGCCGCCCGGCTTCCCGCACGACGAGACCGAGTAGTGCCCCGCCATCGCGGCCGACGTCGGGTAGTCCATCTCGACCGAGTAGCCCGAGCGCTTGTACGTGGCAAGCTTCTTCGGGCGCGAGTAATCCACGTTGATCTTGCCCAGCGTCTGGAACTTTCGCTGCAGCGGGTCCACCGCCATGCGCACCGACGCGGACGTCGGGCGGCGCGTCGACGGCGACGTGCGCGGCGTGAAGGTGGAGACGGCGACCTTGGAGGGCGTGAACATGCCGGTGACGGCGAAGGCGGGGGAGTCCATTGCGCGGGTGGCGGG